CACACACACACACACACACACACACACACACACACACACACACACACATACACTACATACTTAAGCATTTGTTTTTAATCCATTCCCACATACGAAAGAAGACACAGAATATTTGCTTCTGTGAGTCTAGCATACCTCATTAACATAAATGGTAGGTGGTTTTGTTCTTTTTAATTTTTGTTGTTTTGATTTTGCAGCCCACACAGATCTTGAACTTCTGATTCTCCTGCCTCAGCCTCCTGGATAGTTGGGATTACAGGCCTGAGCAAAGAAAACTGGCTTGGTTGTTTTTTTTCCTGACCAATTGCAAACTGTAGTTACCTTAGCGCTATCTGCAATATACTCAACATCCAAGACAGAGATCAGCCAAAGAGCACCAAGTGTGAGTTTGTCTTACTAGAGGCAAACACATGTGATTCATTTTAAAGTCAAGAAAAATTCTAAAGAGCTACCATTCATGAAACATTTGTTCGTTCTTTAATTTTCACTGTATATCTTCACTGTGTGTGGTACCTCATTAACTGGAGAACACCTTCGCTGGTGTCTACACTCTCTTCTATCCCTGGATCTCGCCTGTCCCCCCATCTTTATTAATCCTCATTTTTCTCCTAGACAATATCTCTTCTACTTTCGTGTCATACATACATATGCAGTTTTATGTACCTATGCAAAATCTAGGAACCACAATGAGACGAAACAAATGGTGGTTGACTTCCTGAGACTGGTTTAATTTGCTTAATACGACTATCTGTAATTGCATCTATCTTCCTTTAAATGATGTAACATCAGTCTTCTATGGCTGAACAAATTTTCCTCACCCTTCGTGGTTGGACAAACCGGTTGGTTCTGTGACTTAGCTGAGCATGGATGTGCCTGAACTACTGTGATGTTTTCACTGACTTGAGTCCTTGGTGTAGACACTGCAAGTGGGATAGCTGGGTCATGACTCTAGTCTCAGGTTTGGGAGGAACTTCCATTCTATCTTCTCTATTGGCGAGGCTGGTTTACATCCCCACCATTAGTGTATAAAATTTCTTTTTGTCCACATTCTCATCAGTCTTTGTTACTGCTTACATAATGGCTGCCAATCTGACAGGAGTAAAACAGAACCTCAATTTAGCTAAACATTTCATCACAAATTTGTTGGTCATTTTTATTTTGTCTTTTGAGAACTGTCATTCTATAAGCCCATTTATTGGTTGGATTGTTTAGTTTTGTATATTGTTGACATTAATCCTTTTTTGAGATATATAGTTTGCAAAGATTTTCTCTTATTCAGTAAGCTGTCTCAGTTAACCATCTTTTTTTTTTCTTCTGTGCAGAAGTTTTTATAATATTGTGAGGTCTCATTAGTCAAAGCTGTCTTATTTCCCAGGGGACTGGAGTTCTTTTCAGAAAACCCTTGCCTGTGCCAATATCGTAAAGTGTTTTATTTATTCCTGTAACAGTTTCAGAATTTTATATTGAGATCTTTGATAAACATGCTTGAAGTGTGGAGATGAGCTAATGCAAGACACATTAAAGTATATAGATGAAAGTTTATTGGAAGCAGCTCTTGGCTGCCATGCAGGAGAAGGAGGATGATGGGGGATGAGGGAAGGAGGGATGACGGGAAGCAAGGGGAGAGAGAGAAGAGGTAGAGAGATACAGAAAGACAGAGAGAGGAGAGTGAGAGAAGAAAGAGAAGGGAACCAAAATGTCTAGATTATGTAGTAAAGGGGGGGAGAGGAAGCCCCTGCCCCTGCCCCTGCCCCTGCCCCTGGGCTGGAAAGTTCAGGGTAGAGGACAGGGAATGCCAGTAACACCTTGCAGTGAGTAGGGACCAAGATATGCTGGGAGAAGCCCAACTATCTTGTCCATTTGCAGTTGATTTTTGTGCATAATGAGACACAAGGATCTAGTTTTATTTTACATGGGTCACACTGTCTCTGACCCCACGGGTGCAGTCACATAGTGAGTTTGTTGGAGGGAGTGAAAAGAGTGCATGAGTGTCAAAGTCTCTGCCAGTGTTTGTGCAGTGAGAGGAGACAGCTGGAAGTAGGCACTATATCAGTGTCTCGGCCAATGTAATATTTTTTAAGCCCAATTAAAAGTATAAAAGCAGGTTTATTTGGGAACAGCTCCCTGGTGGGTTCACCAGTCTCAGAGAACAAGGCCAATGAAGTTGCCATGCAGACAGGGAGACAGGGAGGGAGCAGAGAGATCAGTCCCTGGGCTTGAAAGTTCAGGGTAGGGGACAGGCTTCAGGCATACCCTGTTACAGGTAGGGACTGAGGGATGCTGGGAGAACCTGAAGGCCAGGTCTACTTTGATGTGTTAAATAGGCACTTCAGCCTCTTGTCCTGGGTTTGAAACTTAACAGGCACAAGGATCAAAAGTCTCTGCAGGGTCCACATGAGGTGCAATAGTGGAAGTTGGAGAGGTGTGGAGAGAAGAGGGCTTGTTGGAGGCAAGCACGTCAGAGGCCTCTGAGCTCACTTGTGGAGTCCACATAATGTGTCATGGGGAGCACAGGGGGAAATAGAGACAATGAATTATAAGGGTGGATAGCTTCTGGCCCCGTAGCTAGAGATTGTACCAGGAGGCAGGAGATAGACAGGAAAGCCTTGACCGCACAGTTGAACTGGCAGTGAGCGAGGGGACCAAGTTGGAGGCAGGCATGAGCTCACAACTCTCTGTAGAAGAGGACCAAGGAGTGGGAGAGCAGGGGTTGGTGCAAAGATTAGAAGCCACTAGACCCACAGGCAGAGCACAAATGTTAGATCTAGGGAAGGAGAGTGCAGACATCATAGCTTATGATCTCACAGGCAAGGTCTGTATGCTAATGATCTTTCTGAATTCCACTGTTATGTGTTATGTCTTTCTTTTCATCTCTAATTTTACTAATATGGGTCTTTTCTCGCTCTCTTGGTTAGTCTGATGAAAGGTTTGTCAGTTTTATTTATATTTTTAAAAGAAACAACTCTTTGTTTATTTGATTCTTACTATTGTTTTTCTCATTTCTAGTCTATGAATTTCTGCCCTGATTTTGAATGAAATGGGTGCAGTAAAGAAACTGAAATAGCCACTCCCTGTGTGAAAAAGGAAAGGTTTTTTCCAAACTACCAAGGCTGTTTCTCCGGAAAGCAGAGAGAAGCAGTAGGGAAAGGGATGGGGTGTGACAATGATTTCAAGGGTTTTAAGGTTTTAAGGGAATAGGTACCTGGGAAGAGAGGAACCTGTGAGGTTGAGGGCTTAGAAGTCAACCACAAGCACTTCTGAGTGGGGATTGAAGGAGCCTGCAAACTAGCATAGACAAGTACATCACAAGCCTCTGAGCTCACTTTACATGTTAATAGACACCACATTCATATGTAAATAGAGAGCCTGAAGTCCCTTTTGCCAGAGATTAGAAGAATGCTTCCTTTTAGCAAATAAAGACTATTTTCTCAAGTCCCTGAGGGAATGCTGGCTTTTGTCTAAATGCCAAACTTTGAGAAAGGGACTTTTGGGGTCTTAACAATTTTAATTACTGCTTTCCATCTATTACTTTGAAGTTTGGCTTGTTCTGTTTTCAGGGCTCTATGGAGCCTTATTAAATTATTTATCTGAGATTTCATTAGATGTGATTATTGAGGAAGTTATGCTTTTTGAAGGCGGCATGGTGTACTGCTTTTCATGTATCTTGTACTTATATAACTGGACTTGAGCATCTGGTGTAAGCAATTGGTTAGGTTTTTTTTTTTTTTGTCAACCTTATTCTTTAAATGGAAGTGTTTGCCATGCTCAAAATGGATGTACAGCAGTAAGGTTTAGGTATTTTCTCTGTTAGGCCAGTATTCTAGACAGACTCAGTCTGCAGGTACTTTGAAAGTAGAATACTATCTACCATAACAACCAATATCAAAGTGTAAGTGTGCCACAAACATAGAGTAAATAGTTAAATAACAAAAGAAATTACCCCTTAAACTCCATTCATTTTAAGAAATACAGGAACATTGGTAGTATGGCAGGCATTACAATATTAATTACTTCATAAATATCTGGAATTAGTATTGTTCTGACAGAAAAAAATCAAGGGGGAAAACAAATAGAAGAGGTGACTAGAGAGACAAGTGGGGATGAAGCAGTTTTTACTAAAGGCAAAATGAAAGAGGTGAAGACATAAAACAAGAAAGAAAGAAAGAAAGAAAGAAAGAAAGAAAGAAAGAAAGAAAGAAAGAAAGAGAAAGAAAGAAAAAAGAAAGAAAAAGGAAGGAAGGAAGGAAGGAAGAAGAAAAGAAAAGAAAAGAAAGAACCTGGAACAGCCTACCTTGTGTTCTTTAGGAAAGCCTATCAGAGAGAAATGTAAAAAGGAAAGAAGAGAAAAAGAAAACCATGAAAAGAGAGAGAGACTGTCTTCAGGTACTAAATAAAGAAGGAATACATAAAAGGGAATGTAATGGTTTGGAGTAAAATCTCCCCCATAGGCTCAGGTATGTGAATACTTGGTCCCCAGTCAGTGATGCTAATTGGAGAACTGTTACAGTCTTCCTGGATGAAGTACATCACTTTGAATGGGCTTTAAGAATTTATAGCCCCATCCCACATCCAGTTTGCTCTCTGTGCCTCATGTTTGTGGTTGAAGATGTGATCTCTCAGCTTCCTGCTCTGATCACCTGCTTGCCGTATCTCCCTGACATTATGGACACTCCCTCTGGAACTGTAATTCCAATAAATTCTTCTCTAAACTTCCCTGGTCATGGTGTTACCTAGAGAGGGGTCTTCAACACCTTCTGAGTGCACTTTCACAGCTTCCTACAAAGGCTTCTCAGGGGCTCTCATTCTCTCAGGACCTTCATTGTCTGGCCTTATGGACTCTCCTTAATCATGAAGGGAGATGTAAAACTGGGTACTAAGCCTTTAAAACACATGGGCTATTGGGCTCATTTAAACTCCAAACTGTAGAAAAAATATATCTCCTTAATCTCTTCTTATACTCCAAATAATGAGGTCGGCAGCTGGAGTTTCATTAGGCTTATAAGGAAGCGTTTCTCTCTTTCTTAATAAATCAAAAAATAAGACAAGGTTCATCAGCTGTTATTTAGATCATGAATTTAATGGGGTTTTATACTTTGAGTTTTGATAGGTCTATATACTGATAAAAAGGTATTAATTTCTCCCTGGGGAAGTTTTTTAACAATTAGTGGTTTGTTTCTTTTTCTAGTGATACCTTCTGCATCCATCATCTCCAGGGCTGAGACTGTAAATGCTACTGTGCCCACGACCATAATTTCCTGGAATAGCAACTCCATGATTGGGAAAGCATTCTGTGAAATGCGATACAAAACAACAACAAACCACACATGGATGGTAAGCTAAGTTTTTCGTTGTTCCTTAGTCCATGAGAAAAAGCCAATCAGTAGTGTTCAGGCTGGACTTCGGAAGGACCTGCTTCTTAGACTTTTCACTGCTACAATAATTGAACTACTCTAGTTTCAGCAATTACTATATACTTCTAAATGTGGTGGTTTCCTGAAATGATCTTCCACCTTCTATAAATCGCTAAGTAGGCTGAATTTACAACTAAATGGGATCATTTTTAGTTTCTCATGATTGTCTCTTAGGATGAAATCTATGTCTACGTTCATGCATATAAAACCCCAAGCATTTGATGCTGAAATTTGACAATTTAGTGGGTAGGAGGGATTCAAAATGAAGATGTTAGATTTGGAGTAAGTAAGATATCTGTTTTTAAAATGAAAATGTAGTAATTCAAAAGCTGAAGCAATGACTCAGTTGTTACAGACAATGCTGTTCTTGAAGAAGACCATAATTTGGTTTTTAACACCCACATAAGTAGCTCACAATCCACTTTTGACCTCCATGGGCACCTATATATAAATGCACATACACACTGATAAATAAAAACAAATCTTTAAGCAGTGTAAAAACTCTAAGATTTATTACTAATATAAGCTTCAATCTGAGATGAGATTAAGGTAAAGTGAATTTTTGAACAAACTAACTGTATTTAATTACCAAGATAATTAATAAGTATTTTGGGAGAAATACGGTTGGTTTGCCAAAGCTTTTAGCTTATAGACCCTGGCAGCTCCAACAGGCTAAGCTTGGTCACTTGTATCTAACATATTAATCAGAGATAAGTGAAAGTGGGCATGTGAAAAGCAGAGAATAATAGGTCACAATAGGAAAACAAATAAATAAAAGATTCAGTGAGCCCAAGGTCCATTTTCAAAGTACTAACATGAGGTTCAGGTTTAAAAAGAAGGCAAGAGGCAGACATGCTTACCCAGTCTTCATCTCAGGTGTGAACTCATTAATTTCCATCTCAGCTCTGTTCTTGGAAGGTGGGCTGACAAGGTGCTTACTGCTTATGCTGTACTGCTCAGAAGATTACTCTGCACCCAGCTGTGGCCTCTCCTTCACTGAGGCACGTCCCCCGCACACACACACACACCCTTTCATTGAGGCATGCTCTTCTGTGGATGGCAGAGTAGTTCTGGGTAGCTTTGCTGTTTCTAGAATCCAACGCTACCTGAGAGGAAATGAAGACAATAACTTGTCCCTGTGCCTTCAGCTAAACTAATGGATCTGAAATGAAAGTGAAGGCTTTCTCCAGATTTTAGTTACCTTGTATACTCAAGTGAGGAGTCAATGCTTTTTAGAAAAAGCAGCATCTAAGTGTCTGTTTGAGGCTCATTAATAAAATCATATCACAGGGCAATACCTGTGAGCAGTAAGCACATTAAGTGTAATTAGTCTGACCAAGGAAATGGTTCCAGTATGGTTACATTTGGAAAACGTCTCTTTATTATTTTCAAATATAATAAACTTTCATATAAGGCAGATAAGTGAAGACTACATGGATGCCTGTAAATTAGAAACATACTATCAATGTCTTGGAACAGGTTTTTAGGGGTTATCTGGCCTAACCAGATATTCATTCTCTGTTTCTACTTAGTGCCTGTGGGACTGGAGGCTAGACTGTGGCTAACTTTCAAAATGCATGAAGAAAGAGTCACTGTGTGGCCTAACCTGGCCTGCAGTTTAAACTCTTCTGCCTCTAGTTCTCAAATACAGACATTATAAAGTTATACTCCCATGCCCAGAGCAATATTTATTTATTGGAGGGGAGAGTCCACCTGCAGAGTGCACCTGCAGATAAGTGGACAACTGCTGGTTCTTTTCTCTCCTTCCAATATGTAGGCCCAGGCTCATAAGACCTGCTATGCCATCTTGTTGGCCTTCGTCTATGCACAGTATTCAGAAAGCCGCTCACTTGGGAGCTCAGAGGACTAAAGTCCCAAAAGATCTATCTTCTGTCCAGTCAAAAACAGCACTCGCCAGGCATGGTGGACATGCCTTTAATCCCAGCACTTGGGAGACAGAGGCAAGCTGATTGCTGTGAGTTTGAAGCCAGTCTGATCTACAAAAGAAGTCCAGGACAGCCAGAACTACATAGAGAAATCCTGTCTCAAAAAAAAAGAGAAAGAGAAAGGAAAAAAAGACGAAAGAAAGAGAGAGAGAGAGAGAAAGAAACAAACATATAAACAAAGGAAGAAAGAGAAAGAAAGAAAACAGTACTCATCTTAAAGGAAGCAAGGGTTTATTTATTCTGAAGCCATTTTAGGTAACAATGACTCAAGAACACAGATTTAGGATACCCCAAACTCCATGTTCTAATGTGAAAGCAGTTTGATTAAGTTTTATTATTTTAGAGAAGAAAGTCATAAGTCAAAGCAAGTTTAAAGTACATTGTTGGGTTCATCAGAGAGGCAAATATGTTATGCCCACTTCGTGAGACTCCCAGAGACCACCAGGAATTGACTCCACTGCAAATAAATGAGGATCTTTTATTACAAGCTCAAGCCTGGGTCACAAACTTCTTGTGGAAGCAGAAGAGGAGTGTGGTCACATGGTCTAGGGGAACAAGGTTTAAAAAAAAAATGCAAGCAGGGAGTTACATGCCTTGGCATTACATGATTGGGTAAAGGAAATTGACTTTTGAAACGATTGGTTTACTTTTGGTGCCAAGACCATAAATGGTTCTGGCTTAGCCATCTGGACCAGTTTCCTAGCAACTGAATCTCTAGTGGGCAGGAAAAGAATGCAGTAAAGCTAGTTCCTTTCCCCAGGTGGCTGGATATGTCTCCATTTGGCTGGCCTTTGTTCAGGCTTATCAACCAATACCCAAAATTCTTTGGTCTCTCAGGTACAGTGAGATGGAGGAAGCATTCCCACATGCCGGAGATCTTCTCTTAGCTCTTGGGTTGATGGAACCTAGTGGTCTAAGTTAACAGATTACAAAAGGTTTTGTTGTTGTTTTGTTCTTGTTAGTCACAAGATATTAATCCTGACATAAAAATGGGCAAGGGATGGCTGTTCCAACTAAGACTAGCCTAAGATATGATAGTTAGCTTCTGGACTTGCAACATTTCAAAGGCTCCATGGTACTGCAGTTCCAATTAACCAACCAATCTCTGCAGGCACGGGTAATTTTCAGTTCTCATTCACAGTTCCCCATTAACCAAGCATTGCAATTTGTGCATTTGGGAGCATGTATTATTTATTAAATATTATAAGGTTCCTCATAGTTAGGAAGGTTCATTTCTAGGATCTGCTCTAGATGAGACTGCGTAGTAGGTAGAACAGCTTCTTCAGGACTGAGGAACGCTGGTAAATGGCATTAGTAAAGAAACTCTAGGATCCTATCAAAACCAATAGCTCATGATCCCAATCTGAGTTACTGTTTTTACCCCCTCAGTGTATGACATACCACTTACATGTGATATAGGATACTATACCTAAAGGAAAGTAATCAGGAACACAGTCGGACCTAATGGAGTAAAGATTACAAATGAAACAAGCATTTCCAAAGTAACAAAAAAATATTTTTAACAAGATTGCTTATATAATTCCCTTTGCATTACAGTTGTTTGTACTCTATGAACTATCTTACTTGTATTTAACTGATTTGAAATTGAACATAATGGTGATGAGAGCTATACAGATTATAAAGTCAAGAGACTTCAGAGGGAAGCAAGGACTTTCACTGGGTTGGAGACCATTCCCATGACATTTGGCAAAGAATCTGGCTGCCTTCTGCAAATTTACCTGAGGCTATATTTCTCCAGAAAAGATAGCTTAACACTGAGTCTGTCAGATGGGGATTACTAGTCATTCTTATGCAGGCCTACAATGAAAAAGAGCAAAATAAGAGCACCACAGCCAAGGTTGTGCTGAAAGAGACGAGGAAATTAGGATTTTAATATAGATGTTAAGCCTGAAGGTTATGAGATAGAGAATCATTTGGAAATAAAGTAAGATACACCTGGGAGCATGAAGGTAGACAGACAGCCTTCCCAGAGTCTCATCCATCTTTTTTCCAGTAGTTATTAGGATGTTGGTGATTCTTGACATTATTTTCTTCAAAGATTGCTAAGCAATATAAGGAGATCACAGGTGACTCCTGAGGTGTCACAAACTTGACAGGGTTTGTGAAAGTCTAGACCATGGGATGTAGGGAAGATATGGGAAGAAGAAAAAAGCATAGGTTACAGGAAAAGGGAAGGGAGGAAAGGAAGAGATGGGAGTGTATCGGAGGGAAAGGAGAGGAGGGAAGGGAAGTGAAGAGGAAGAACAAGAGGCCCAAGATGAGTTTTAAGGCAGTTTTGAATTCTTTGTTGAGAAGGAGGGTGAGGATAAACAGAGTTAATGTCAGAACAGGCATTATCAAAAGAAGTGGTCCCCAAAAGATTTAAGATTTCTATTTTATTGGCTCCTTGATAAACAGTTTTGATAAGTAAGATAGGTTAGAGGAGGTTGTAGGGAGGGCATCAGACAATGAAGATAGATTTAAATAGGGTTGTTATGAATGTTCTTAAAGTTAAACCCTTGAGGTAGTTTGGAAGTTCTCATCATAGTTGTATATATAGAGATAGTTGGGTAATAGACTGGCTATTTTGAAAAGCTAAGATAAGCTAAAGTGATTTTTGGTTTTGGACCTGCAACATTTCTATACATTCATTGGCATCACTTAGTGGAGTTTTAATGTTATGAGTGTAGTTTATTGACAACTCAGGTGTAGCTTCTTTGGAAACTTGGGCTTATAGTCTTCCCACTGACCAAGCATCTTATTTTGTGCCTGTGGCAAGCATTGACTCAAATCCTTCTGGTTAGGAAGGTAACTATTATAATCTGATGAAGATGAGAAATAGGCAGGGAAGCAGATCCTCAGAAGAGGTGAGTGATTACCAAAGCCATTAAGGAAGAAATTCTTGGATCATATTAATGTATTAGCCATTGTGATCCAGTTCTGATTTTTATTTTGTCATCTGTATCTGGCATGACACTAATATATATTATTACAGGAGTATTATTTCTAAAATTAAAATAGTGAAGGGGCTAGAGAGATGACTCAGTGGTTAAGAGTACTGGTTGCCCCAACAAAAAAAGAGAACTTCATACCTATGAACACTGATGCAAAAATACTCAATAAAATACTTGCAAACCCAATCCAAGAACACATAAAAGATATCATCCACCATGACCAAGTAGGCTTCATCCCAGGCATGCAAGGGTGGTTCAATATATGGAAATCCATCAATGCAATTCACCATATAAACACACTGAAGGAGAAAAACCACATGATCATCTCCTTAGATGCCAAGAAAACATTTGACAAAATCCAACACCCATTCATGTTTAAAGTCTTGGAGAGATCAGGGATATAAGACACTTAGCTAAACATAGCAAAGGCAATATATACCAAGCCTACAGCCAACATCAAACTAAATGGAGAGAAACTTAAATCAATCCCATTGAAATCAGGGATAAGGCAAGGCTGCCCACTCTCTCCATATGTCTTCAATGTAGTACTTGAAGTCTTAACTAGAGCAATAAGACAACTAAAGGAGATCAGGGGATACAAATCAGAAAGGAAGAAGTCAAAGTATCACATTTGCAGATGATATGATAGTATACATGAGCGACCCCAAAAATTCAACCAGAGAACTCCTTCAGCTAATAGACACCTTCAGCAAAATGGCTGGATACAAAATCAACTCAAAAAAATCAGAAGCCCTCCTGTATACCAAAGACAAAAGGGCCGAGAAAAGAAATTAGAGAAACAATACCCTTCACAATAGCCACTAATAACATAAAGTACCTTAGGGTGACTCTAACCAAGCAAGTGAAAGACCTGTTTGAGAAAAACTTCAAGTCTCTAAAGAAAGAAATTGAAGAAGATATCAGAAGATGGAAAGATCTCCTGTGCTCATGGATTGGTAAGATTAACATAGTGAAAATGGCCATTCTGCCAAAAAGCAATCTACAGATTCAATGCAATTCCCATCAAAATACCAACATAATTCTTTACAGACCTTGAAAGAACAATTCTCAACTTCATGTGAAAAAACAAAAAAAAATCCAGAAATTCCAAAATTATTCTATACAACAACAGATTGTCTGGAGGTATCTCCATCCCTGAAATCAAGCTATACTACAGAGCAATAGTAATAAAAACTGCATGGTATTGGCATAGAAACAGAATGGTGGATCAATGGAACCTAATAGAAGACCCAGAAAGAAACCCACACCTCTATGGATACTTGATTTTTGACAAAGAAGCCCAAACCATTCAATGGAAAAAAGACAGCATCTTCAACAAATAGTGCTGGTCCAACTGGATATCTAAATGCAGAAAAATGAAAATAGATCCATATTTATCACCCTGCACAAAACTAAAGTCCAAGTGGATCAAAAACCTCAACATAAAACCAGACACACTAAATCGGTTAGAAGAAAAAGTGAGGAAGAGCCTAGAACTCATTGGCACAATAGACAACTTCCTGAACAGAAAACCAACAGCACAGGCTCTAAGATCAACAATCAATAAATAGGACCTCATGAAACTGAAAAGCTTCTGTAAAGCAAATGACACTGTGGTCAGAACAAAATGACAGCCTGCAGACTGGGAAAGGATCTTCAGCAACCCTATATATGACAGAGGGCTAATATCAAGAAGTTAAAAAGCAACAAATCAAGTAATCCAATTAAAAAAATGGGGTACAGAGCTAAACATAGAATTCTCTGTAGAGGAATATAGAATGGCAGAGAAAGACTTAAAGAAATGCTCACTGTCCTTAGCTATCAGGGAGATGCAAATCAAAACAACCCTGAGATTTCACCTTACATCCATCAGAATGACTAAGATCAAAAACTCAAGTGACAACACACGCTGGAGAGGTTGTAGAGAAAGGGGAACCCTCCTCCATTGCTGGTGGGATCTTACTAACTCCCCCTTATTTCATATGATTTCCTGTACTTTGCCCAAAGTTTGGTTATTAGTCTCAGCATCTGCTTTGATACACTGTTAGGTAGAGTCTTTCAGAGGCCCTCTGTGGTAGGCTCTTGTCCTGTTTCTTGTTCTTCTGTTTCTCCTTCTTCTAATGTCCATCCCATTTGTCTTTCTAAGTGAGGATTGATCATCTTACCCCGGGTCCTCCTCCTTGTTTAGCTTCTTTAGGTATACAGATTTTCATATGTTTTTCCTGCGTTATAGGTCTAGTATCCACTTATAAGTGAGTATATACCGTGTGTGTCTTTCTGCTTCTGGGATACCTCACTCAGGATGATCTTTTCTAGATACCACCATTTGCCTGCAAATTTTATGATTTCCTTGTTTTTAATTGCTGAGCAGTATTCCATTGTGTAAAAGTACCACAATTTCTGTATCCATTCCTCCATTGATGGACATCTGGGTTGTTTCTAAGTTCTGGCTATGACGAATAAAGCTGATATGAACATGGCTGAACAAATGTCCTTGTTGTGTACTTGAGCATCTTTTGGATATATGCCTAGGAGTGGTATAGCTGGATCTTGAGAAGGCACTATTCCTAATTGTCGGAAAAAGCGCCAGATTGATTTCCAAAGTGATTGTACAAGTTTACATTCCCACCAGCAATGGAGGAGGGTTCTCCTTTCTCCACAACTTCTCCAGCATGTGTTGTCACTTGAGTTTTTGATCTTAGCCTGGAGTTTGTCAGACCTTAGCTCAAAAAAACCCAAAAAATCCACTCCAGAGAAAGAACATGATTGACTACAATTAAGTTCTGTATTCCTCCATGGGGGAGGGAGAACAGCTATTCCAATGTGTAAAATGTGTCATAGTTTGGAATTTCTGGAGATTTCCAAGCTTGTCATAGGGAATCCAGCATGTATTTTGCTTTTAATTGTAAAGCCTGCGAGTGGTTGTGTAGGTTTTCCGCAAAGTGCTCTGCTCTTGGTTGTTTTCTCTGGCCCCCAGGATCTAGTAGGTGTCCCATCGATCACCCACTAGAATAACCACAACACTTCACTACCATTTTTGCATCTATTTTAGGTTAAAGAATTCGACACCAACTTCACATCTGTGCAGCAGTCAGAATTCTACCTGGAGCCAAACAGCAGATATGTATTTCAAGTGAGATGTCAAGGAGTGGGTAAAAGAATCTGGCAGCCTTGGAGCTCACCCTTTGTCCACCAAACTCCCCAGACAGGTAGGTATGTTCAGACGCTATGTTCTCCGCAGCTTCCTTTTTGATCTCTCTTTTCCAAGCATTCTTTCAGCTTGCCTGCTACCGTTGAGAAAAGCTATTCTGTAGAGGGTGATAACACTGAAATCATCATTTCTCTTCGGGCTTTTAAAATTGACAATTTGTGAAATGGTGCAAACTTCTGCTGGTGCTTAGGCCTTAACACATTCACCCACCTCTCTTCTCACAAAAGGTCTGAATTCCATACATAGCTGGGGTGAAAAATCTTATGCTGATTTCTTATCAGTCCTTGTTTTGAAAAGTATCAACGAGTTACCAAAAAAATGTATCACAAAAATAAAAAAATCAAATAATGTGTATAGACACTGATTATGGCTATACTAAAAACAACCAGAAAGAGGTAAAACCCATGGAATTAATGGTTTCTCAACAAGACCTCACTGATATATACTTAAAAGATCTCATTCCTATTATTAATAATTAATTACATATACATTTAGTCACACCACACAATAACACCTTCTTAGCTAAATAAATTTCAATTGTAAGCAAGTGATAGGTCAGTCAATTCTGATTGTCATAATATTCCAGAACAGCTCCACGAACCAGAGGTATGCCTTTATGTAGAGTTTATATGGCAGCTTTTGTTTTGCTTCCCAAGAAGAACTCAACCGGCTTAATTACAGTCATAACAGTAATAACGTCATCCTTACTATGACAGCTTGACAACTATGATCAAGTGGAAGGACCCAGGCATGCCAGATTACTTTGGCTCCCTCTGATGCCCAAATCTTAGGACTACATGATTAAGGGAATAATTTTCAATCAGCTATCAGTTCTCTCTTTTTGGAAGTTAAACTTAAATTAATTCTGTCTTAAGTTGATGTTGTTAGAAACTTCTTGAGACTTTACATGCAATAAAAAGATAGATTTGTTTAGTAATTGAATTATTTTAATTTTTTTTGTGTGTGTTTTGTTTACATGTTTGTCTGTGTATGCCTGATGGGTCCCCTCAGAGTGGTGTTTGGATGGTTATGAGCCACAATGTGGGTGCTGGGAATTGAACCCAGATTCTCTGGATGAGCTCTTAACTGCTGACCCATCTCTCTAGTCCAAAGTAACCCAATTCTTTTTAAATGAAATCTAAAGTTACTCAAATGAGTATAATTAAGCACAAGTTATTTAAATTTGCAAAGCAATGATCTCTATATGATTGTTTGCTTTCTACATTCACCATATTTCACCAAATTATCACCATCTTGCAAATGTAGAAACTGAGTCATGATTTGTTAGACAGCACATTGCTCCTGGGTTGTGGCACTGGGGATACTCAATGCTTTGTATTCTCATCACCACTGTTCAGCACTCTCATCTTTGTTGTTGTAGTTCAGTTCTGTCAAAGTGGAAGGGCAAATGATATGGCCTCAATACAAGTTAAGGGCAGGTCAGCGTGTGTGTGTGTGTGTGTGTGTGTGTGTGTGTGTGTGTGTGTGTGTTTGCTTAGACAGAGTGTCAGTCTGTAATATAGGCCTCAGCCCTCCAAGTGCTGGAATTACAGGTGTGTGCCATCATATCCAGCACAACTGTTTAAGGATACAGGTCCTCCATCTAGGGGAGAAGAGAATAAGAACCTACACCATCTAAGTTTAAGGTTTCTTATTTCATAAGGAGAAATTGTATGTAAAAGCCAAAAGAGCACTCAATCTTAAATATACATTTCACACATTTAGCTAAAAGGAGCCACGGGCTATCCTTTGATACACATCCTTTCCTGTGACACATCAAATGAGAAACAGTGAAAATATTAGAGGAAGTAAAAATATTAAAGTTCAAACACAGATTTTTCTCTTTGCAAACACAATGTAAGTTTATTTATCATATGACTAGAAATATCTACTACTCATGTGTTAGTGAACTTATGGGCTTACATTTTTATGAATGGTATTTGCAGTGTGTTCTGTAGCTTACCTTGCTGAGTTTTTAAACACCTTGTTTAATGGTCACACATTGCTCTAGTTTATAGACATACCATGACTTCATCATTTCCCTATTTTTTTGAGATTTTTTTTTTAACGTATGTGGATGCTTTGCCCGCACATATGTCTGTGTGCCACATGCATGCAATGCCCAAGAAGGCCAGAAGAGAGCATCTGATCCTTTGGAGTTGACGTAGGTGCCAAAATGCGGGTGCTCTGAAGGAGTACTCAGCGCTCTTAACTGCTGAGTCATCCTTCCAGCTCCCGTTTCCTTATTTAAACAAAACTGTCAGCTACTTCATTTCATCATTGTCAATAAGCTTTTAAAAAACAGATTTGCATGTAAACTTTTGTTTCTTTATGTCTAAAAAAAGAATTATTAAATCAACAGTTAGGCAAAGATTGGTGCTGCAAAGATGGCTCGGCGGGCAGAGTGCTAGCCGTGATCTGAGTTCAGATCTCCAGCACCCACACATAACCCACGTGACGCAGTTTGTCTGTGACCCCAGTGCTTGGGTGGGGCAGAGCCCAGCGGATCCTAGTGGCTGACTTCCAGACTTAGATTTTTCAGACACCTACTTTATTTAAGGTTCTTAAATGCTTCTATTCCCTTTCAAGCCCCCAACCTTAAGTAGGAAATTAGTAGGGAAAGGAGCTGCAGACCTTTTTTAGCTACTTTCTGCTGAAAAGGGCTGATGGGGTCTTTGGTCATTACCGAACTCAGTCTTCTAGTTAAACAGCAAAGCAGCAGCGGCCACACGAGCCAGCCGCAGCGGAACGACAGAAGCAGCCAGACTTCATCCAAATGGCAAAACTCCTTCAAAGCAGCAAGAAGAATTCTCTGGAGCATTTCTTTCTGTGAAAACCAGCAAAGCGATGCAAACTGTTGCAAAAAGTAGACATGCAAAAAGTTCTGTTTCACTGTCTGTGGGCTTTTATTGATCCCTTTTCAGGGTCCACACAGGAACGCTTTCCAGCTCACAGAGCCCACACCCCTCCATGTCTTGTCACAGGAGCTATTTTCTTGGGAGACTGTTTTCAATGTGTGTGTAGGGGGGCGTTCCTGCATCCTACATATGGGACAGAAACAAAAACCATTCACAGGACACAACTGAGTTTCCAAAGAAACCAGAAACTTCCACTTGACTGACTAGCCAGTCAACCTAGCCCATAATTGAACTCTAGGTCCAATCAGAGATCCATGTCTCCAAAAATAAAATAAAATAAGGCAAAGAACAATAGTACACACCAGACGTCAGCCTTAGACTTCTACATGCATGCACATGGAAGAAAGTATCCTCACATACTCAAGCACACACTCATACACACGGTTAAACATATACATGTATACACCACACATACAGTGCTAAGCATACATATTTACCACCCATACACAAAGCTAAGCACATACACAAAAACTAGTGTACATTGATACACACGGGGGGGGGGGGGCAGGAGAAGGAGAATTAAGCACATTTTAAGATGCATGTTGTATTTTTTTAAATTCTGTTGGTAATTTGGTCATAAATACACAGTAGTTACATCATTCCCACTCCTACATCTCCCCTCTACCACCGCTCTCCCTCTCAAATCATGACCCCTTCTTATACATACATACATACATAGATATGTGTGAGATAAATCTCCTGTCAGGGAGCTAACCCCTGAAGGCAACTAATCCTCCCTCCCTCAAAGGCCCTTTTTTGCCTGTAGCTCTTCACCCAGGTGTGGGACTTGTCTTCACCCTCATTGGCATGTCAGCTGGTGTACTTGCTGTGCAGGTCTTGATCGTGCAGCCATATTGTTGAGAGATCATGAGAGTGGCTCCCTGACCATAAGACACCATCTTGCACCTTGGTTCTCTGGCTCTTACAATCTCTGCCACGTCTCTTACAATTTCCACCCTGTCTCCTGGGCTTTGGAATTGGGGTTGTGTTGTAGATGTGCTAATTGGGGCTGTGTGCTCCATGGTCACTTAGTCTCAATATTTTGAACAGTTGTAGATCCCTCTAGTAGAGTCCATCTGTTTTGAAAAATAAGTTTCTTTGATGTAGGCTGAGAGATGCACTTCCCTGTGGGTGTAAGGGTAAGTGTTTAGAAACAGAAGCTGTATTGATTTAGGGAAACGGTGGTTTCTCAAAGTGTTCCAGCATATCCTTGCTATTTGCTGTTTAAAGAGTCCATAAAAAGCAGTTTATTATTGTGTTAACTGAACATTTAGGCAGCCTACCACCTGGCAGGCATTACAAGTACTTAAGAACCTCAGTTAGCAAAGGAGACAAAGATCTATACCTTGGAGAAATTTTATTCTAGAGAAAATAAAAAAAAGAATAATTGCATAACACGTATCTTTGCATTATAAATACAAACACAGATAAAAATCGGGAAAAAACAATCTATACAGATGAAGATTAACATGGCTTCTGACAGAAAAAAAAAATTCTGTTGCCATAAAGTTATTTTGGCTAACCAGTTTGCTTGATAATGAAGGTTTTTTTCCAACAGCTAAACTCTAATTAATCGTTCATTTATAAAGAAGCACAGTTCAAGCAAATATGTCCCTTCCATAGAGGATTTCTCTCATTTATTTTCTGAAATTCTTACATGCGTCTCACTGATCTCCAAAATCATCTCCAGCGAGGCTGGCAGCCATTTCTCTGCATTGCTGCTCTCTGAAGACAGTCTTTTCTTTGCCTTTAAAACCTGGTCTTGGGCACTGGGCATAGGTGCACATGCCTTTAATCTTACCACATGGGAGGCTGAAACAGGAGGATTTTGAGTTCAAGCTCAGTCTACGCTAAGTTAAGAGAGCCTGCAAATGAATGAATGAATGAATGAGGTGGATATAAGCAGCAAAATAACTGCTCTAAGGCTGAGATGCTGGTCCAGTTGTAGAGCCCTGTACCTGCCTGGCTTTAGTCCTCAGGACTGCTGACTATGACAATAATAAGAAGTTTTTAAAACCCTATCTCAGAGAGAAACGGAAACAGCTCATTTGTAGTAAGAGTTAGGTGACTTGAGTGATGT